TGTAGATAAATATTCAAAGATGTGCACACTTTTTCAAGGTTTTTCAAAAATAACCAAAGTTAAGTGGTTAAATGATTGTGACGCTATTAACTAATTTTGCTGGGGAACCCCTAGCACTCCCTCAAGGACCACTGGTTGAAAACCACTGCTGTAGATCACTGCCGGTATGTGCGCTGGGAGCGCACCGTTTAAGTTTGAAAGTTGAAAAGTTTGTGTGTCTGAAACGCTATGTGATACAGTACAGTTTACACAGCACAGTATATGTTCTGTAGCTACTATTGCACTAAATGGTAACACTTGAATACGTTATGCAAATATGCAACTTGTTTGTTGAAATGTTAATAAATGGGAGCTTCCTCAAGCAGCCATCTCTTTCCCGACAATCCCCTCTGTGCACGAACCCTTACATATGGTAATTAAACATTAAAAACAACTGCGGCTTATAGTCCAGTGCGGCTTATATATGTACACATCATTCAATATCATTCAATTTAGCTGCTGCGGCTTATACTCCGGTGCGCCTTATAGTGCGGAAAATACGGTAACCATACTGTTGACACGTGGATTTTGTGGGTATTGACACTCTTATGTAGGTATCATAACAGCCATAAAATAACGCAATATATGTCACAACAGGTCTAAATATGTGTCATGACAGTGTTTTGACCGTATTATGACAGGTTATGACAAGTTATGTCAGCTGTTATGACATGGTTATGACCTTGCCATAATATGTTATGACGCTGGGTATCAAGTAAAGTGTTACCCATTATTGTAACCAAATGACGGGATTAATGGTACATTTACTACTGGTGACATATGTAAATAGGGGAATAGATTTTTTTAAAATACAATCAAAAGGCAAACAATTCACACAATGAAAGCGCAAGAATTGGCGGGAGACAGCTGAGGCATTCTGGAGAGATGAGCGCATGCATTATGGAGAGAGACGCGCCTATACCGTCGCCACACACCCCTCCCCTTCTTCTTGTCTCAACATTTTAAATTATACTCAAGACGCAGGTAGCCTAGTGATTAGAGCGTTGGGACAGTAACCGAAAGGTTTCTAGTTCAAATACCCAAGCCGACAAGGTGAATAATCTGTCAGTGTCCTTGAGCAAGGCACTTAACCATAATTGCTCCAGGGTCGCCATTGATAATGGCAGACCCTGGCCGTGACCCCACTCACAGAGTATCTCAGGCGGAGTTGGGATATGCAAAAAACACATTTCCAATTCACACATGCGTACAATACACACTTGTACATGTATTAAATAGGACAAATATAAGCACCCACCTAATTATTGTATTATTATATCTTCACACATATTTTATACTTTTCACTGACAGCCACAACTCAATAATCAGCTAGGCCTATTGCCACTTGCACTGCCCAAATTGCGTGCTTCCCAAATAAGCATAGGCCTATGCACTTGTGATTTTGTTTAAAATAAGCTAATGATCCTCTGTGGCTCTGTATGCTCTCTGATGAATTATTTTGAATAATTGTATTTATTTCAGGAGTAAATATATAATTTTGGCAAATGTATATTTGCTTTAAGCCTATTGGATGCGCAGTCTATTCAAAAAGTGTTTACTTTCGCCCAAAATAATTCCAGCATCCGAACAGTACACTGTGCACCCGCCAACTTTCCTTAAATTCGCGTAGCTGAAAATATCTCACCAGAGAAAGCATCCGAGCGAACAAAACAGTGCCCCTCTGTCTTACTATATGTAGCCCATGTATCTGATACTGTCTGGCCCGAGAATAGTATGGCATGCCATCCTCTTTTTGACCAGACAGCATCAGATACATAGGCTACACATACTGAGACAGAGAGGCGCTGTTTCACTCGCTTAGATGCTTAATCTGAGATTGATGCGTCTTTCTGTCGGCGTGCGTCTCGGTCTAATAAATTATCAATATTTAAAAGATGCAATATGGAGAAAATCACTCCGCAATTTCCTGGTTGCTAAAATAGCCTAATTAGCCTAATTTCAGATTGTGACCAAACAAGTAAAGTATAACGTAGAGAATCATTGTACCATCTAAAATCACTGAAATATATACAGTGGGGGAAAAAAGTATTTAGTCAGCCACCAATTGTGCAAGTTCTCCCACTTAAAAAGATGAGAGGCCTGTAATTTTCATCATAGGTACATGTCAACTATGACATACAAAATTAGAAAATAAAATCCAGAAAATCACATTGTAGGATTTTTAATGAATTTATTTGCAAATTATGGTGGAAAATAAGTATTTGGTCAATAACAAAAGTTTCTCAATACTTTGTTATATACCCTTTGTTGGCAATGACACAGGTCAAACGTTTTCTGTAAGTCTTCACAAGGTTTTCACACACTGTTGCTGGTATTTTGGCACATTCCTCCATGCAGATCTCCTCTAGAGCAGTGATGTTTTGGGGCTGTCGCTGGGCAACACAGACTTTCAACTCCCTCCAAAGATTTTCTATGGGGTTGAGATCTGGAGACTGGCTAGGCCACTCCAGGACCTTGAAATGCTTCTTACGAAGCCACTCCTTCATTGCCCGGGCGGTGTGTTTGGGATCATTGTCATGCTGAAAGACCCAGCCACGTTTCATCTTCAATGCCCTTGCTGATGGAAGGAGGTTTTCACTCAAAATCTCACGATACATGGCCCCATTCATTCTTTCCTTTACACGGATCAGTCATCCTGGTCCCTTTGCAGTAAAAACAGCCGCAAAGCATGATGTTTCCACCCCTATGCTTCACAGTAGATATGGTTTGGATGCAACTTAGCATTCTTTGTCCTCCAAACACGACGAGTTGAGTTTTTACCAAAAAGTTCTATTTTGGTTTCATCTGACCATATGACATTCTCCCAATCCTCTTCTGGATCATCCAAATGCACTCTAGCAAACTTCAGACGGGCCTGGACATGTACTGGCTTAAGCAGGGGGACACGTCTGGCACTGCAGGATTTGAGTCCCTGGCGGCGTAGTGTGTTACTGATGGTAGGCTTTGTTACTTTGGTCCCAGCTCTCTGCAGATCATTCACTAGGTCCCCCTGTGTGGTTCTGGGATTTTTGCTCACCGTTCTTGTGATCATTTTGACCCCACGGGGTGAGATCTTGCGTGGAGCCCCAGATCAAGGGAGATTATCAGTGGTCTTGTATGTCTTCCATTTCCTAATAATTGCTCCCACAGTTGATTTCTTCAAACCAAGCTGCTTACCTATTGCAGATTCAGTCTTCCCAGCCTGGTGCAGGTCTACAATTTTGTTTCTGGTGTCCTTTGACAGCTCTTTGGTCTTGGCCATAGTGGAGTTTGGAGTGTGATTGTTTGAGGTTGTGGACAGGTGTCTTTTATACTGATAACAAGTTCAAACAGGTGCCATTAATACAGGTAACGAGTGGAGGACAGAGGAGCCTCTTAAAGAAGAAGTTACAGGTCTGTGAGAGCCAGAAATCTTGCTTGTTTGTAGGTGACCAAATACTTATTTTCCACCATAATTTGCAAATAAATTCATAAAAAATCCTACAATGTGATTTTCTGGATTTTTTTTCTCTCATTTTGTCTGTCATAGTTGACGTGTACCTATGATGAAAATTACAGGCCTCTCTCATCTTTAAGTGGGAGAACTTGCACAATTGGTTGCTGACTAAATACTTTTTTTCCCCACTTGTACCAAAATATTGTATTTTCAGCTATTTGAAGATAAAGTAAAAGACACAAAAAAGACACAAAAACTAAACTTAAGAACAGGAAGCATAGAAATAGCTCACATAAAACAGATCTAGCGCATTTTAGACTGGCTTTCATCGAGAATGACAGATCTATAACATTTCTATGTGAATTTAGTCGGGTCAAATCAAAATGTATTTGTCACATGCGCCAAATACAACAGGTGTAGACCTTTCCGTGAAATGCTTACTTAGAAGCCCTTAACCAACAATGCAGTTAAGAAAATATTGACTAAATAAAGGAAAGTAAGAAAAGTAACAATAAAAGAACAATAACGAGGCTATATACAGAGGGTACCGTTACCGAGTCAATGTGCGGGTGTACAGGTTAGTCGAGATAATATGTACATGTAGGTAGGGGTAAAAGTGACTATGCATAGATAATAAACAGCGAGCAGCATCAGTGAAAAAAAAAAATGCAAATAGTCCAGGTAGCCATTTGATTAATTGTTCGGTAGTCTTTTGGCTTTGGAACTAGACTTGTGCTCCGGCTTGCCGTGCAGTAGCAGAGGGAACAGTCTATGACTTGGGTGGCTGGAGTTTATTGACAATATTTGGGGCCTTCCTCTGACACCGCCTAGTATAGAGGTCCCGGATGGCAGGAAACTTGGACCCAGTGATGTACTGGGCCATACGCACTACCCTCTTTAAGTCGGATGCCAAGCAGTTGCCATACCAGGCGGTGATGCAACCAGTCAGGATGCTCTCGATGGTGCAGCTGTAGAACTTTAAGGATCTGAGGGCCCATTAAATATTTTCAGTCTCCTGAAGGGGAATAGGCATTGCCGTGCCCCCCACTTCATGACTGTCTTGGTGTGTTTGGACCATGATAGTTTGTTGGTGATGTGGACACCAAGGAACTTGAAGCTCTCGACCCGCTCCACTACAGCTCCGTCGATGTGAATTGGGGCGTGTTCGGCCCTCCTTTTCCTGTAGTCCACGATCAGCTCCTTTGTCTTGCTCACGTTGAGGGAGAGGTTGTTGTCCTGGCACCACACTGCCAGGTCTCTGACCTCCTCCCTATAGGCTGTCTCATCGTTGTCGGTTATCAGGCATACCACCGGTGTCGTCAGCAAACTTAATGGTGTTGGAGTCGTGCTTGGCTACGCAGTCGAAGGTGTACAGGAGGGGACTAAGCACGCACCCCTGAGGGGCCCCGTGTTGAGGATCAGCATGTTGTTGCCTACCCTTACCAACTGGCGGCCCATAACGCCGGCCCTGCAACACAGCCTTCCAGAATAAGAGAAAATCATCCAAGGCTCAGTTTGAGTTTACCTGGTGGGTCCCGGCGCTGCTGTTGGTGCCTGTGCGGATGTCAGGAATCCTTAGATGTAGGCTCTGGAGGAAATACGTTGTCTGCATCTATAACACAATTAAAATAAAATAATTACACTAGCTATGTAGGCCTACTGTACATGTTCAAAGTCCCCAAACTATCACCATTCCTTAAGTTGTAATGCTATTCTGCCTGCAAAAATACTGAAGAAAACCACACTGTTGCTGATGTTACTATGAAAACTAAAGTTGTTTTGTTACGATAATGAGGAGAGGTAAATAAATATATCCTACCTGAAAGTATACAGTCCAGTATGGGATAAGAGCAAAGAACACCGGGAGAATTTTCAGCACTGCTTTCACTTCCTCCACTTTCTCCTCAGGGAATCTCCCTCCATAAGTCACCTTAGCTCCTTCCAGCATGGTTGGTTTAGCCCTTAACGAGAGAAGAATAACACAATTGAACAACTTTAAAAGACGTACAAAGCGGCTACTGCATGTTTTGATAGGGGCCGTACAATTCAGTAAATATCCCTTAAACATAAACTCAGCTACTATTAAACTAAACTCTGGAGATAAGAGACTTAAAATCAGGCCTTTTTTTGTTTCCGTCTCCTTTAAATAACGGCACTTCTAGTGAAAGGACAAAAATGTTCTACTAAAGCCTATAATCCCTATCTCTGGAGAAAAAGCCTTAATAAGGAATTCTTGAAAGGCTGCAGGATTGGCCAACTTAAAATATTAAATGTCAAGTTCTTGAACTGATTGTGCTACTTAGGTTCAAAGTCAAGCAACAGCACTTCAGAATGACTTTCCTCCACAATGAATGATGATGAATGCCAGGAAAGACCACAAATAAACATATACAGAACAGGCTGGGGATCAAAGAAGAGTTTAACATAAAGGACTATCAGCAACACCTAGTGGTGTGGTGCCATCTTGAATAGAGAAGCACCATAACATAGCCTTCTTTTTTACTCCTAAAGTAGATTTGAAAAGGTTCGCTATAAAGTCAAGAGTATTGTGTTTCCAATGAGATCAGATAGAGCACAGCCTCTTTCACACCCTTGATCTAGCCTACATATAGATACTGATACTACTAACGCCCCATTTCCATTGGCACTTTGAAGTCAACCCAGGTTGGGCTGGCCTTCGTGGGCTGATTATTGCGTTTCCACTGCCTCCAGAAATTACAAATTATATCATGTTGCTATGTAGCCAATATGTGACTGCAGCTGGCTTCGCTAATGTTGCTAGCTAGCGAGATGTTGAAGAATTCAATTCACCCTCACCATACAGTAAATAACATTACCCCATACTCCTGCCAGTGCCAGCCAGACTCTGTAGAGCCTTGTATTTAGCTTGCTGACGTTAGCTAGCTAGCTAAACGGTTAGCGTCGTTGCTAGCATAACAGACTACCTAACGTTAGCTAGCATTTGAGGGCAGACTTTTCTCATAAAAGTTTATTGTGTAGTGCAAAAAATGAATGAAGGATCCAGCTATGGTGGTAATTCACGTCATGTGTGACTACTGCAGTACTGCTTGTCCATGTGCTCGCTAACAAGACAAAGGAGATGATTGTGGACTACAGGAAAAAAAAGAGGACTGAGCACGCCCCCATTCTCATCGACGGGGCTGTAGTGGAACAGGTTGAGAGCTTCAAGTTCCTTGGTGTCCACATCACCAACGAACTATCATGGTCCAAACACACCAAGACAGTCGTGAAGAGGGCACGACAAAGCCTATTCCCCCTCAGGAGACTAAAAAGATTTGGCATGGGTCCTCAGATCCTCAAAAAATTCTACAGCTGCACCATCGAGAGCATCCTGACTGGTTGCATCACCGCCTGGTATGGCAACTGCTTGGCCTCTGACCGCAAGGCACTACAGAGGGTAGTGCGTACGGCCCAGTACATCACTGGGGCAAAGCTCCCTGCAATCCAGGACCTCTATACCAGGCGGTGTCAGAGGAAGGCCCTCAAAATTGTCAAAGACTCCAGCCACCCTAGTCATAGACTGTTCTCTCTGCTACCGCACGGCAAGCGGGTACCGGAGTGCCAAGTCTAGGTCCAAAAGACTTCTCAACAGCTTCTACCCCCAAGCCATAAGACTCCTGAACAGCTAATCATGGCTACCCGGACTATTTGCACTGCCCCCCCACCCCATCCTTTTTACGCTGCTGCTACTCTGTTAAGTATTTATGCATAGTCACTTTAACTCTACCCACATGTACATATTACCTCAACTACCTCAACTAGCCGGTGCCCCCGCACATTGACTATGCAACGGTACCCCCCTGTATATATAGCCTCCCTACTGTCACTTTATTTTACTGTATATATAGCCTCCCTACTGTCACTTTATTTTACTTCTGCTCTTTTTTTCTCAACACTTTTTTGTTGATGTTTTATTCTTACTTTTTTGTTTAAAATAAATGCACTGTTGGTTAAGGGCTGTAAGTAAGCATTTCACTGTAATGTCTGCACCTGTTGTATTCGGCGCATGTGACCAATAAAATTTGATTTGATTTTGATTTGATTTGATTTGATTAACAGCAACAAGCCCAGATGAGTTAGCTAGCTAAATGTTGACAGCATCCAGCAGTGATCAGCTTGATGGCTGCATAGTAACGGCGTCACCAGCCCGAATTCTAATCGCACCAGTTGTGAAACTGGGCTGCGCTGGCCCGGATTTCCCTCGACCCAGCTCGAATTTGAGCATTCCATTCAAGTCACCTCGAATTTGGCCCTAATTGTATGTGCCAGTGGAAACGGGGCTTAAGTAACAGCAACACAGTTGTGATCTGCCTGGCACTCTTACCGTAGCAGGTTGGGCTCTTTGGGCTGTGCTTTGCAGCAGGCATAACCCAGGATCTTGAACATGTCAGTGAAGGCACTACCGTCAGCAGGCTTGTTGATGAAGACTGTGCGCCCCAGCAGGAACACCAGGAAGGAGACACCCAGGCACACTGCTGGAATTATGTACCCCAATTGGAAGTTGATGTTCTGCTGGATGTAGGCCACGCCACCCAGGGACAAGATGGCCCCCAGGTTGATGCACCAATAGAACCAGTTGAAGAACCTGCGAGTGGCCTCTGGGCCGCAATCTTTTACCTGTGAGGAAAAAGGGATTGTCATGTCAAATAATATCATCATCATCATCATTCTGCTCTCCATGAGCACCTTTAGGAAACAAAACAGAACTGTAGTATCATATCAAATTCAAGACATAGGCCTAACATGTAATCTAATAAAATAAACAGTAGTCTAACTTTATTAAAAATGTTATTGTATATCCCATCATTCAATGGCAGTGAATAAGTGTATAACATCCACGTGATAAAGTGCTAACATCTTCCTTCTATTCCGTGCTTGACAAAAAAAGGGGAAGGGGAGGTAACCCCGCTGGCAATAAGAATTTCTAGTAACTAATGAATAGGCTAATCTAATCATGTTTTACAGGTGAACAAGATTTCTACGAATCCTGCTCAGTGGCATTTACCTTTTTTCCCCAATATTACTTTGTGAATCCCATTAAAACATTCACCAATCAAAATGAAACAACTAAACCAATCACCCATCAAACATGTGGCAAGCAGAAACATGTGAAAATCATATGACAGTGGCATTGAAATCTATGCTAATCAAAGTCACCACCTCTAAAAACGTTTTGGGCCAGCCTGGGTTAGCTAGATTTGAATAACAATTACCCCCTTTCAGAGATTTCCTACTGAAATGGGCTTTCCTCTTTAATGAATGGTCTTATAGGTAGGCCTAATCCTGAATTTAGATAAGAAACATAATGAGACAGATGTGAGTTTCACTTCCTAAATTGATGTACAATTACCCATCTTCTCAGCCTTAGATGACTGGTGTGTTGACCAGACCCGATGGATGGCATTACCCAAATGTAAACCTCGTGATGCAAATTACAAACGCTACAACCAGCAGGGGCCTGGCTGATTGAGTTCTCATGGTAAATGTAGAGATGACAGGCGTACTAGATCAACATTTAGCCTATTTCACGATTACCATTTCAGTCCATATACAAGGCTGACCAAAGTAAGATCATGTTCAGAACCTTTCAGGCTTTATAAATTAGTCTGTTATATATTATCTTATACTCACATCATTAGATGGGATAGCATTAGCAACAGTGTAAAGCATAATACATTGAGCATTCAGTGAGTTTTCATTTGACCTTAGAAGTCCTTCTGAAGAGCTTTTAATTAAGATTGAATGCTTTGCTTATTCATAAGCTTTACTGTACCTGGTCTGCCCCAAATGGAGTGATGTTGGACTTCACTGTTCCCACACCTAGGGCAATGAGAATAAGGCCGGTGTAGATCACTGGCCCACAGTAAGGTGCCCGTGTGGGGCAGGTCACATTGCTTGGAGAGGTACTGTTTGTGCTCAAACACTCTGCAGGTTGCACTGGAAATGCCATTTCATCACCACATAGGGTTTTCCTGGAGTCTTCATATGCAATAAATGGGAAAAACAGCATGCCAAGGAAGTATAGGATCAAACTGCCAGCAATGGTCCAGAACTTGCCCAGATATGCATCAGCCAGCCAGCCACCAAATGGTGAGATCAGGTATGTAACCCCCATGAACATCAGGGGTGCCTGGCTGGCCTCAGTCCCCTCCCAATAAAACGGGCTACTGTTGAGGAAAAGGACCAGGTTGGAAGTGATGCCATAGAATGCCACTCGTTCCAATGATTCTGCAAGCAGAATGGTTGCACACGCCAGTCTTCTGCCCTGGAACACTGACACAGGCCTGCTCACAGAGCTGCTGTCCAAAAGAGGAGTGCTCTCACTGGCATCCCCGCTGGCCATCGTCAGCTGACTTGTTGACTTGAGATGTTTACTGGAAACCGTCAACCCTAAACAAAATGAACACGAGATTATGATACGAAGTGTTATGACAATAGCTGCAATAGTTAAGATGTTGGAGAAATTACAACAGGGTGGTCCAGTTCAGTTTGAGATACACTTGTTTTTAGCTAACTAACTAAGGCATGGAATATTAGCTTACAAAGTTTGGTCTGCTTCCTGACATCAGCATGCTAACTTTAGCATGATGATGATCTGCATCATAACATTGAGGAGAACTAGCATACAGTACCTTTAATGAATGACACACTTTCCAACGTCTGCCATTTAGCCTCCTATCTTAACAGTTCATGTGCTCGACATGCCACAAAATCAATGTGTTCAGAAGAGCGAATATCTAAAGTTACTCGGGTAACTAATAATGAAACTGACAATCACACACTGCCTGTCAAAGCACTGGCGCGTGACTGTATATTCGTTCAGCAACCTCTAAATTGTGCTTTTTTCCGCATACCGTAAACAGATGGATCGACTTCACATAACACCACTGACAGTTTGAGCGCCTGAGGCAGTCAAGACTTACATTTTACAAATCTACGTTTTGTGCTGATGCGATGCTGTTTAGTCCGCCCACTGACGTTTTTAGCGAAGCTCCATTGGCCAGAATGGTAACATACCTATACGCTATTGGTCGAAAAGAAAGACATTCAATACAATTTTATCAACACTTCCTGGAGGGCTTGCAGTTCAGTAGGAAAGCGGAGTGGGGTGGTATGAATAGTCATAAGTCTCGACATAGATTGGTTGAGCCTTCTTGAGTGCGTGACCTCACACCGACCGAACGACTTGGGAAACCCAGCTTCAGTTTGACCACCAAATTAATTTGAAAATAAATGAAAGCCTCACCAGCTACCTACCAATCTATTTTAGCATAACTGTCTGATCATTCAAAAAACGAGCCCACTATTAGTTATTTTTACCTTTCCACAAACGGTCTGGTATGTGTTGCTTGATATAAGCAAGTTAACCCAAATGTATCAAAGAATAGGTCATGCATCCACGATTAGTTAGTGTCTACTGCCTGGCCAGGGATCTAGCTAACTATATTAAAGTAATTAGCTATCCTCCTAAATACGGTGGTCAGTGGATAAACTAAGTTGAAGATTTGAAACTATTTGTCTGAAAATGAGCTAGTGGACAGTTATTGTTGCCCATGGTGTAATCCACAGGAGGTTGGTGGCACCTTAATTTATTTTATTTCACCATTATTTAACCAGGTAAGCCAGTTGAGAACAAGTTCTCATTTACAACTGCGACCTGGCCAAGATAAAGTAAAGCAGTGCGATAAAAACAACAACAACACAGAGTTACATATGGGATAAACAAAACGTACAGTCAAAAACACAATAGAAAATCTATATACGGTGTGTGCAAATGTAGTAAGTTATGGAGGTAAGGCAATAAATAGGCCATAGTGCAAAATAATTACAATTTAGTATTAACACTGTGTGAGTGATAGATGTGCAGAAGATGATGTGCAAATAGAGATACTGGGGTGCAAATGAGCAAAAAAAATAACAATATGGGGATTAGGTAGTTGGGTGGGCTAATTACAGATGGGCTGTGTACAGGTGCAGTGATCGGTAAACTGCTCTGACAACTGATGCTTACAGTTAGTGAGGGAGATAAGAGTCTCCAGCTTCAGAGATTTTTGCAGTTCGTTCCAGTCATTGGCAGCAGAGAACTGGAAGGATTGGCGGCCAAAAGAGGAGTTGGCTTTGGGGATGACCAGTGAGACATACCTGCTGGAGCGCATACTACGGGTGGGTGTTGCTATGATGACCAATGAGCTAAGATAAGGAGGGGATTTGCCTAGCAGTGATTTATAGATGACCTGGAGCCAGTGGGTTTGGCGACGAATAGGTAGTGAGGGCCAGCCAACGAGAGCGTACAGGTCACAGTGGTGGGTAGTATATGGGGCTTTGGTGACATAACGGATGGAACTGTGATAGACTACAACCAATTTGCTGAGTAGAGTGTTGGAGGCTATTTTGTAAATGACATCGCCGAAGTCAAGGATAGGTAGGATAGTCAGTTTTACGAGGGCATGTTTGGCAGCATGAGTGAAGGAGGCTTTGTTGCGAAATAGGAAGCCGATTCTAGATTTAACTTTGGATTGGAGATGCTTAATGTGAGTCTGGAAGGAGAGTTTACAGTCTAACCAGACACCTAGGTATTTGTAGTTGTCCACAGACACATAGGTATTTGTAGTTGTCCACATATTCTAAGTCAGACCCGCTGAGAGTAGTGATTCTAGTCGGGCGGGCGGGTGCAAGCAGCATTCGATTGAAGATCATGCATTTAGTTTTACTAGTGTTTAAGAGCAGTTGGAGGCTACTGAAGGAGTGTTGTATGGCATTGAAGCTCGTTTGGAGGTTTGTTAACACAGTGTCCAATGAAGGGCCAGATGTATACAAAATGGTGTCGTCTGCGTAGAGGTGGATCTGAGAGTCACCAGCAGCAAGAGCAACATCATTGATATACACAGAGAATAGAGTCGGGAGAACGGGCTCATGGTAATCATATACATCAAACACATGGTTTCCATGTGTTTGATGCCATTCAATTAACGCCATTCCAGCCATTATTATGAGCCGTCCTCCCCTCAGCAGCCTCCACTGCTGTAATCATGTCTAAACAAATATTTATATACACTAGATGACTTGTATGAGGCGCTGTGTTGAAGCCATCGTGCCTCCATCTTGGCACTACCTCACATCATAAAACGTATTTTGGAAGCTATAGAAATGCATTTATTAATGTTTGCATAGTTTTTTGCCACATTTATTCATTTATAGACACCTAAATGCATACTTTTAAATTATATTATGTGCACTAAACATACAAATAAAAATACATTAAAACATTCCTTAAAGTATATATATATATATATATTTAGATTACTACTGTTACTGTCCCCATTACAACAAAAATACTTAAATACATGTAATTTTGTCCTTTAAACATTTAATTGAAATACTGTAATTTAATGTATTCATATAGAGGACAGCGCCTCCTAGAGAGTGCCAATATGGCCGAACGGTGGCTTCAAAGCCTCTCAATGGCCAACACATAGCATTAGCAATCCAGGGTTTATATACATTATTGTGTCTAACCAGTTGGCTAGATAGCTGTGGCTTTTGGCATCCACAATTATCTAGTTACTGCATGGTCAGTATGAGCCAGCATTTCAGTCTGTAGCTATGCTTCTAAATAATAATAATAATAATAATTAGTCATTTAGCAGACGCTCTTATCCAGAGCGACTTACAGGAGCAATTACAGTTAAGTGCCTTGCTCAAGGGCACATCGATAAATGCGGTGTTCATTGGATAAACAAGCTATGCGTTGAACATATGTGGCTGAAAACGAACTAGTAGCCAGTTGTTATTGCCCATAGTGCAATATCTAACCCGCTGGATCCTGAAGCATATTTCCCCATGCGCTCCCAAGTCTAGCTAACGTTAGCTAGCATCGCAAATTAGCACTTCGCTAGCTAGTTGGTTTGTTTTACAAGAAAACGGTTGGTATGAATCAAACACTGCAGCTAGATAGAAAGCCCTCCTCGGTGACAATGTTCTTGGGGTGCGGGAATGTCAGATTCGCATTTTAATTTGATGTTAAATGTCATTGAAGTTGGTGGCTACTACTAGTTTCAAGGCGAGATAAATTGTCTACCATGTTTTGCTTTGGTAATGCCGCGTTCAAAACAGCTGGGAACTCTGAAATATCCGACTTCAGTGCGTTGAATATAAATGGGAACATGTGGGAAAATCTTTCAAGAGCTCCGACTTCCCGACCTGAAGATCAATGACGTCATGATTTGACCTCGTTTTTCCCAAGTTCCCAGTTGTCTCGAAAGCGCCATAAGGGCCGAAAGGCTCAACCATTCACCCGGTGGGTTCTATGTCTCGACTCGTGCTGAATATTTGGGTGTGTTCATAAATTCACTCTGGAGTGCCAGAGTGCGCTCAGAGCGAACTCTGGGCATCCGTAAATTCAGAGCATCTGTTCGTAAATTAGGAGCGACACACTGGACGCTCTGACCGAGGAGTAGGGTTGATTCGAGCGTTCTGACCTCACAATGGCACACAAGCTAACTGGCTAAAGTTGGCTAGCTACTTCCGGATACAAATGAGAGAACACCTCACTCTGACCACCTTTTTTGCCGACGTTTACTGACACCAGCAAACGGGTGTTACGTGTTCGTAAATTCATCAGTTATTCTGCGCTCTGGCAAACTCAGATGAGCCAGAGTAAATTTACGAACGCACGCAATAGCCGACTTAGAGGACATTTCGCTTGCAGTTCCTCTTCCACTTGAGTTGAGTGTCATGAATGAAGATCAGAGTACTAAAATTGAATGAAACTAAATTAATTAATACATATAGAGCACCAGTCAAAAGTTTGGACACACCTACTCATTCAAGGGGTTTTCTTTATTTTTACTATTTTCTACATTGTAGAATAATAGTGAAGACATAAAAACTATGAAATAACACATATGGAATCATGTAGTAACCAAAAAAGTGTTAAACAAATTAAAACATTTTATATTTTAGATTCTTCAAAGTAGCCATCCTTTGCCTTGATGACAGCTTTGCACACTGGAATGCTTTTCCAACAGGCTGAGCACTTGTTGGCTGCTTTTCCTTCACTCTGCGGTCCAACTCATCCCAAACCATCTCAATTGGGTTGAGGTCAAGTGATTGTGGAGGCCAGGTCATCTGATGCAGCACTCCATCACTCTCCATCTTGGTCAAATAGCCCTTACACAGCCTGGAGGTGTGTTGGGTCATTGTCCTGTTGAAAAACAAATGATAGTCCCGCTAAGCGCAAACCAGATGGGATGGCATATGGCTGCAGAATGCTGTGGTAGCCATGCTGGTTAAGTGTGCCTTGAATTCTAAATAAATCACTGACAGTGTCACCAGCAAAGCACC